AAACAAAGTTCAGAGTGCAAAAATGCTCCAGATACCTTGCAACTGCCACCATTAATGAATGCTTAGAAAAAATAATCACTTAGTTGTCCATTTATAACAAGAACATGCTTCCAGTTATTAAACGGAGAAGAATATCAATTCCTTATAGTACTTGTACAATGAGCAAAAAGCTCTGTAGTTTTATAAACACAAATACAGTATTTTGCCTACAATGATATAACATACAATATTAAACACTTTCCATGTTGCAAATCCCTCCTAATTTTTATAATATATGTACTACAATTTGTCTTGTTCTGAAGTCATTACTTTGTGCATTTGTACTTCATTACTTTGTATACTTCCCCATACTTTTTCCAAGTCATTAGCTGACAGTGGAGGAAAATCACAGTATAACGACATTAGGGCAAGAAGTAAATTGTGCTATACCTTAATCAGGGCAGAAGATAAAAATGCCACATGATTCTCATGTGAGCAGAGTTGTAGCAAAAGCAGCCAAAGGATATAATACAAAGTCTGACTGAATCATATCAATAAGACTAACCATAATCCCAGTATATCCTCCAATTACAGAGGCAGAAAAAGAAGTTCAAAAAACTATGCCAGAGTCTAGGATGGAAATGATCACACACCAAAACAAGACTTTATGTTAATCTATGACTTATTGGAATGCAAAAGTTGGAAACAGAGCAAAATCAAAGATTGTAGGAAATTTTGCCCTAGGATCAAAATATGAAGTACGGAAATTATTGATTTACTGAGGCCAACACTTTATTCATTGCAAACACTCTTTCAAGCAAACCTATTCATTACAAACACTTTTTCAAACAAATCGAGGTGTGACTTTATGCATAGATATCGCCTGATGGCTTATACAGAAGTCAAATATACTAAACAATTGTAATCAGAAGATGGAAAAGCTCTATTCTCTCTGCAAAAGCAAAACCAGTAGTGGATTATAGCATAGATCATGTTCGGCTAATATCAAAATTAAGAATAAAACTGGGCGAGAATACTAAACCAACCATCATGACAAAATACAAGATATCATCATCATCAACAACAACAACAACTTTATTCTTGTATCCACCCACAACATCATCATCGTCAACAACAACAACAACAACAACAACAACTTTATTCTTGTATCCAGCCACCACCTTCCCGAATGGACTCAGGGTGGTTTACACACAAGGTGTTTAAAAACGGAACATTAAAAAAAATCATATAAAATACAATTGAATAAAACATATAGGCATATAAAACAACAACTTAAGACTCAATTAAAACAGTACTCATCATCCAATGGTCGTAAGGTACTGTAAATGTGCGCAGGCTGTAAACAATAGGATAAGGGAATGAGACAAGTGCAGAGATATAAGCAGGCTCATAAAATTTAGAGATACCGTAAAAATGGATTTGGATTGTTATGCTAACTGACCAGGAGTCAGAAGAACTCTGAACTGAAGCTGGAGATGATGCCAGCAAGAATTGAAAAAGCCACTATTTGCAGCCAACAAAATAAGGGGGGGGGGGGAGCTTTTCTGCAATGGCTGTCTATTGGGAGTGCATGGCAGGGGTTTGGACTGGGTGGCCCTTGCAAGTCTCTTCCAACTCTAGGATTCTATATCAGGAATAGGTAATACAGGGTCTAATGGATACATTTTTTCTCTCTCGTCCCCCATCTCATCCTGACCAAGACCAATCCTTTTGGGATCCAAATGTTTTCTGTCTTTCCTTCACTTTCTACCTCCAAAAAAGAGGAAGGGGAGGAAAGGGTAGTATGCCCATGCCTGATCTACACTGCAGAATTAATGCAGCTTGACAGCACTTCAACCGCCATGGCTCAATGCTATGGAATCATGGGAGTTGTGGCTTTATGTGGTGTTTCACTTCTCTGCCAAAAAGTGCTAATGCTTCATCTAAATACAACTCCCAAAATTCCATAGCACTGCCCATGACAATTAAACTCCATTTATTCTACAATGTAGATGCATCCTAAATCATTAATAAGAAAAAAAGAATAGGACTTGGAAGGCCATCTATGAAGGAATTAGATAAGGTCTTGAAGTATAAAGCCATTTAACTGAACACTAAAGTTAAGACGCTCCCTGCCATTCTATTTCCAATTTCTTTCCATTGTTATGAAAGCTGGAGAGTGAATAAAGTTGATAGGAAGAAACGCAACTCATCTGAAATATGGTGTTGAAGAGTTCTAAGGATACCTATTGTGCTAAAAAGACAAATACATGGATCTTGAGCAAATAAAGCCTGAAGTCACCCAAAAAGATAAAACTGGGGCTATTCTACAGGGTGGGGCAACATAACTTTCTTTTTTTCAAAACTTAATAAAACCCATTGTATGAATCAGAATTTTTTTTTGTAATGTAGGCGCACACCTAAAGTTTTGTTTTATGTAGTTTTGAAGATCAAATTAGGTAGGAGATGTCCTCCATTCTCCATACACTGAGTAAACCGATTTCTGGCGTTTGTCATGACTCTTGCCAGCATACCAGGCATTATGTTGCCAATTTCTTCCTGGATGTTGGTCTTCAAATCTTGTAGGGTCCATGGATGGTTCACATAAACATGGGATTTCAAAAAAAACCACAGAAAAAAATCACAAAGGGGCCAAATCTGGAGAGTGGGCCGGCCACTCCAAATCCGCTCAAAAAGTAGGCCTCAACAGCAAAAGCACGCTCCTCACTGTTCCAACGCATGATGGCGACTGAACTATGTCAGGACAAAACTTTCTACTCCTGCCTCTCAAACGAGACCACTAGCGCTCCGCTAGGTCTTCAACCGACTGAATGGTGCGCATTTTAAAAAAGGAAGTTATGCTGCCTCACTCTGTATTTGATGAGAAGACTCAACTCACTAGAAATAATAATTCTTGGTAAGGTAAAAGGCAGTAAGAAAAGAGGAAGACCACATTACAGGTGGATATATTCAGCCAAGGAAGACAAATTCTTTAATCTTCAAGACTAGAGAAGGGTCACCGTAAATCAAAATAAACTTGACAGCAGTTAATAACAACGATCTAAATGAGAAATGGTAAATACAAATTTAGAAGAATCTCTACACCGCGATTAGAGTAGATCTACTGAATCTGTTGAGCGACAAGGTCTTTCGCTCATAGGATCACCATACATCAACAGCAGTTTAAAAACAATAATTCACTTGTACAAAGAAACTCAGAGTGGTGCAGTGGTTTGAGTGTGGAACAAGAATTTGGAAAACCATGCTTCAAATTCCCACCTGGCCATGGAAACCTTCTGAGTTTGGACACGTCATGCTCTGTCTTAATGGAAGGAAAGAGCAAATTCTTTCTGAAAAAAATCTTTACTCAAATTTTTGTTCACTTTAGAGTTTCCATAAATCATAAACGACTTGAGCCACATAATAACAACAGTAACCACACCTACTTGTACAAAGAAAAAGAGCAAGTTTCTTACTAATTCTAAACTGATTTGGATGCAGCTGAAAGTATGATTCCATAATTTCTATAATAATCGCATCTTTATATAACACCTAACCTGGATAAGTTTCCTGTCCATCTTAGACATTTTGTTTTTAACATTAGCTAAGCTTGAGAAGACCAACATGGTTACAATTAAAATTCCCTTAATTTAAAATAATTACAGTGAAATTTATATGCCAGGTGCCTCATGGCAAAACGCAAGCAAATACAAAGAAAGAAGGCAGAAAGCTCAAATAATTTAATTTCAAACATTATTTTATATCACTTTTGCAGTTAAAGGCATTTTATGAAAATCTATCCCTCTGCTGTCCTTTTTTTAAGGTGTAGTTCTAATGGGTATCAGGAATTGAGTCTAACAGCAAGGAATTTGATTTACTTTAAAGTAAGCAGGTTTTATTTATAAGCTTGCTTTCCTGAAACTTGACCCAATGTTCATTTTGTTTACATTGTGAATGTCCAAAAAAGGCATTTAGGAATGGATTAAAAGCTAGCACAATCAGTAAGTACAGTGAAAACAACTGAGAAGCTGTTTACAAAAGGAAAAAAAAACTTGAGGAAGAGCCAATTGTAAAACTTACTGTCTTCTGTATCATAGTGCCATTACTGTGTGTATGAATGTGTGTGTGTATCTATCCATTCATCCATGCCATCTAATCTATACTGCAACATAAAAAGACAAACATTAAAATACAGAAAGCTACCATGGAAAGACATTACTGTCAAATGTGAAAATGGGTTGTCATCTAGGGGGAAAATGAAATGTTATATGCCCACTGGAAACGGGAAATAACTACTGTCTGGAAAACATGGGAAAACTGAAAGGATATACAAGAACAGATGGCTGCACAGAATCAATAAAAAGAGCAGATGTGTATGCAAAATCAGTGCGCCACCTAAATGTATGACAGTGAGCAGATTCTTCCTGTTAATAACCCACACTGTCAAACACCTTATCAGTTTTTGTAAGATTTGTTCATTTATTTATATTTCAAGGGCACTGATAATTTGGAAGACTGGAAGACTCTTATATCAATGGGGAAAACAATAATGTGGGAAATCCATAAGTAGCACCAAAACTTTACATAATCACTCTGAAAAAAATTAAGGGTAAAAAGGCATATTCAAACTGATACCCAAACTGAAAAGATGTATATCTTCCTTATGGATTACTACTCTGACAAAGAAAGAAGAAGGAATATAAGAAGAAAGGCAATCTGGAGCACCAACACACATGAATGCTATAATACTAATGATAGAGCTCGGAGAGACAGAATGGGGAGAACCTGGCCCTTAAAATTAAAGCCCGCCACTGTGTCCATGTACCTTGGTTCTAGGTGAAGGTATCATGTTGACCACAAACACTACCATCAAGGAAACAGGATGCACTAAGAACATGCTCAATGTTCCAAAGAAAAGAGCTCTTCTAGCCATGAACCAATTAAGATGGTAAAATGATTTTCGCTTTCAAATCAAGACAATTTTACTGTGAAATCTGATTATAGCATTGTTTCACTCTTACCTGTGTCCCCATCCCCACTCTCCATTTTTACAGGTTTACTGGTTTCTGACGGAGTGTTCATTCTTGAGTCTGCAATGGAAACAAATGGAAACATGGTAATCAGGGCAGAGCACTTTCCTGACACCATTTTTTAACAACAGGATATAGGGGTCAGTGTGGTATAGTGGTTAGAGTGTCAGACTACAACTCCATGGACTAGGGCTCAAATCTGCACTTGGCCATAAAATCCATTGGGTCACATCAGGGAAAGTCACACTCTTGCCTCAGAGGAAGGAAATGGTAAACCTTTTCTGAATGCATTTTGTCAAGAAAACTCTGTGACAGGGTCAACCTAGGGTCACCATTGGGATAGAAAGAACTTGATGGCACAACAACACATCAGACAGCATGTACCATGTTTTCGGTGTATTTTGCACTTTAATTCAATCAAAACCAATTAGTGGGCATGGAGAATCCAAAGAAAATTTTAGAAAGAATCTAGGAAACAGAAATCCATGCATCATGACGAAGCATCATGACGAAATAGTACGGTATAACCCACATATCTGAGGTAGATACATTCCTGGGTTTGACATGGATACATAAAACAGCAAATAATAGTGAATCCTATTGAAATGAAGGACTTCTGGCCCAAGAATACTGTAGAGTCATGTTAGAGAACCTAGACAATGCTTAGAGAGGACATAGGATATAGACAAATTAATTCATGGATATTACCCTCATAGATGTGGGGGCTGTGTTATATATAATTCAGGGTCAGAGGAAAAAAGTATTTACAGACTTATTTTTATAGTGAAACAGAAAGAATGAGCAAAGAAGTTAGGACGTACTGAAATGATATATGATCTTTCCTATTGATTTTAATGTCTTTTAAGATCTGTTTTTAAGGACTGTTTTAAGATCACAGTTATCCCAAAATTCTGTTTTAACTTCCCTTCTCCCAGAAATACCCACTCTCTTGATGGGTATGATTACATCACTGTGCTCAGTTGAACATGGTGGTATGTTATAGTGTTTAGGAAATAGTGTAATACTTTGTATCCCATTCAAAACAGGGTGGTCATGTCATTGTGCAGTGGCAATAGATGGAATCTATCGAACAGATGTAATGCAGTTTACAAATGGGAGAAAAAGAGGCATTCATTACAAATGAGAAAAGGAGGCTGAAATTTTGGAACAGGCTTAAAAGAGCAAAATAATGATAATGACAAAAATAATCCAAACCACTGAGAACAATTTTGACACAAGTCTTTACTGTATTATGCTCTTGATCTTTGCTAAACTAACATTCCATCAGTTTTTGGTGATAATCACGTCAGGTTCCTTTTTTTGCGATTGAACTGATGCTTCTTAGGAGAAGAATGCCTTTGCTATTCCCAACAGATTTATTCTCATTACAAAATACCACCCATTCTTTGTCTTCTCCAACTGTGATAAGTCTCTAGAGAGTTTTTAATTACTGCAATCCATGTTGGTGCCTCTTGAAAAACATGTAAAATGAGGTGAACGAAGTGCTTAGCACACTTCCTCCTTGGTACTGCAAGGAATTTCCATGAGGTGAATTTTTTGCCGGAAAAGTTATCTGAGATTGACAACAGAAATATGTATGTGAATAGTTGTGATTCCCATGCTTTAGCCCATTCTTCAAGGACATGTTCACAGCCATAGGGCCTGTGATCAGTTGGTGGAGAACTGAGGAAACCAATTGAAAGCAACATAATGCTTTCAAAGGGAATCTTTTGGATTCTTCATAGACAGTTACTGTATTTATATGTATGTTTTCTTATTATGGATTTTTTACTAAGGATTTTACTAAATCTTATCCATTAATTTACTATATCAAAGGGATGGCAAATCTCAACATATTCCACTGGTGATTCTAATATTTTATCAGGCTTTTCTAAAACACTACCAAAGGAAACCAGAAAGAAGAAACATCTAGCTATAGAAAAATATAGAAAACATTGTCTTTGATGAGGAGAAAAGATACACTCAGAAATAAGGCTAACTGAAAACTTCATAAACCACAGTACAGCCAATCTTCACCAGCATTTCAGACAATAAATACACTTATTGTCCTAGATAGACAGCATATTCCAGGAAAACTAATTCATATATATAATAAATTCAGGGTGAAGGGTAGAGGAAAGAAAAAGTAAGGTGGAGAAGAAAAGTAATTGAGATAAACTGGATAAGATATGCAGAAACCTAGTAAAATCTCTCTCTCTCTCTCTCTCTCTCTCTCTCTCTCACACACACACACACACACACACACACACACACACACACACAGATATATTACAACTATAATCTGGACAGAAAAAATATTTCAATTTTCTGGTTACTATACAGATGAATTTTTAAAAAATGCTAAGACTTTCTCCGTTCTACTCAAAAATTGGCAAAGAGGAGTCCTGGTACCCACCTCCACTTGGAAACCTCTTTTGAAGGCATTTTCTAGTTTTACCTAAGTTAATTTTTTCTATGTTAAAGGTTGTTATTGTTTTTTCAACTAAATATTTAATTTAAATTCAAAAATAAATTATAAAATAACACTTTTTGAAGCTAGAAAAAATGATATTTCTGAATATAATTTATACCACTCCCATTTTCATTTATTGGTCACAAAGAAGAAACTACTCTAGCACCTATTGCTCAACTGATAGTGCAGAAGTTGCTTCTGTTGCATCGTGCATGCAATTATCTGCATAGTCATATCATCAGGTAATCTAAAATATATAATTCACTAGAATAATGGCGAAGTAATTTATGAGCTATAAAATATCAAATTATTGATGATTTCTAATATATATATATATATATATATATATATATATATATATATATATATATGCAAGTCATCCTCTCTTAATGAAAATGCTTCCATTATAAACAGGAAAGCTAAAGCCTAATCAGTATTATGGCACACCAAGGATGCTCTAGCTTCAGAAGTTCATATGGCATATTTTGAATTATGCTTTATTTCATAGCTATATAATTATGGTAGTCTATGTCTAACCTAAAAGAGAAAAATGAATTGGCTTTACACACAAACCTTTATTATTTAAATAATTGTTTGGTGTGTTAGGTGTATGCAGATGCTGAAATGAATAGTAAAACTATGACTATCAATGGGTTTAACTACTGTATTTCTTCTATTCTAATATGTGCTCCTCCTCTCATATAAATATCTCTAAAAACAGGGTGTGTCTTAGAATCACTTATATATAACTTTTTTTTCTGTTGGTGATACTGAAATTAGTGTGTATCTTACAATCAATTGCAATCGATGAAATATGGTGTATGACTTTATTTTTGGAAGCAATATGAACATGATGCATCCTCTACTCTCAAAAGGAGCAACTGCTAATCAGTGCATCAAATCAAGGGGACAAAGTCAGTTATCTACTTTTTCTAATACTTGGTAAAAACACCTTATGCAATATGACAGACTATCATAGTGAGATGTATAACTACAAGGCATAATAGCAGCCACTATCGATTGCTATTAACCATAACAACGAAATGGAACTTCCATGTGCAGAGACAGTATACCTATGAATACACTACTGGGGAGAGGTTTTTACCCTCATGAGTTGCTTCTGGACACCCATAAGTATATGACTATCCCCTATCAGGAAAATACAAGAGTAGTTGGAATTTGATCACATCCAGCAATATAATTCCTACAATCTAGCCTTAATTTAAAGGTGAATTAATAAGTCTTGTCACAGACAAAATACATCTTAAAATTGTAAATGGTATAAGATCTATAATTTGGGTAACGGATGTTAAAATATTTTTTCCTTTACATAAGATGTGGCTGTACCTCCCACACCTTCTCCCTCCTTCGTTCTTTCACAGGAGTATAATTTGTAATGACGACACTAAAACATTGTCATGCCTTGAACTACACATACTGAAATCAAGACCGAAAACACCAGGTGCAGTACTCTTCACATTCTGATGAGCTTCTAGATTCATTCTTGTGTTTTAAATGGATCCCCAAGGATGAGCACATAAAATCATGAGCATTTCAAAAATATGTATGTGAATTAGAAAGGTTTGTGTAAATCTCTTATTGTTGATAAACCTATAAATCAATCTATTGTTCCTCATAATATCAGGTAAGATGTGTCATTAATTCATTAAGTGTGTTACGACTGCTAAAAACATAAGATTATTTTGTTTAGATAGCAACTATTGCAAACAGCTTTTTGAAAGGTTCAGTCCAAGAATGTAAGAAAGTGCTAAATATCTCAGAAAAAGCATTTGGGAAAGAGGCTGGTTTGCATCAGTTTCATTTAAAGGTAAGTATGTTATATAAATCTCTTTATTATCAGCTGTAAACTCAAACATTAAAAGCTGTGAAGTTAAGGGCTACAATTTGAAAAAAAGTCAATCTAACAACATTTAAACAAACATACACACATGCACAAATTGTTTTAATGGAGGTCCAACAAGATAAAAACACTAGTAGTCATAGAAAGTGTTACTTTCACTGTTATAAAAAAACAGTGACTGCTGGCAGTGCTTTCTTGCCATTAAACCCTGAAAAGTGCTGCTCTTATCAGCTGCACCCCCCCCCCCAATAAATATACCAAATATAGTATTCTGAATGAATTGATCAAGCCACGGTTGATGGGGTTTCTTCCCCTATCCTCTCTTCCCCAGTGTAATTTCATATAAAAGCACACAGGAAAGCAAATCAAACAATTTCATGATTAAATCCTACATGCTTCTCCATTAAACATCATTGAACCTGAAGAGCATCTCAATTCCTTTTAAAGCTTTACATCAAGTTTCTCCTAAACACACAAAAAATGGAGGAGGCACTTCTACTGAATCCCTGATAGCCCTCAGCCTTTCAAACACCTCCCTAAGTCCTGCATATGTGATTAAGACCCTATGCATAGTCAATCGTAACAACTACTATTTCCATATTAAACGCCTGCAAGAGTCAGTTGAACTGGTACCCACCTAGAACGTAGTCGCTGCAGTCCAGCATTGCTGTGCAATCTTCTGCAGATTGAGATAGTCCAAGTAAAAGGAGGGGGGAAGACTTCCTAAAATAAAAAACCCTACACTACTACACTTAACAGAACTAGAAAAGGAGGGGTGGGGATAGGAGAGAAATATAACTTCAGTTAAACCATAGCAATCTTTAACAGAACAGAGAAACTTCAGTTGCTCTGTGGAGTTTTAGTCTCTCCTACTAGCTGTGTCTGACATTGTCAAGGCGACTGAAGCATGAAAAGTTCCCCTTTTTTAATAAAATAGAAACAAAGATTGCAGCTGGCAGTTTCCATAATGAAGCTTAATCAGTATGCGCCTGATTAGGGCCTTATGCAAATCTTCCCTCGTTAGCACAGCAGCCAGCACTTTGAAGTCCATGAACAATTCATTTGCAGAGTACACTGAAAGCACTCCCTGCATAATTTAAATCATGATATAAATATTTATCAGCTCATTTGCATATTAATTGGCAGTGCATGAAGGGAAAAATTATCTCCCAAGTGCCAGCATAATAATTAGGGAACAAAATGAAATTTCTTCCAATGGCTTTGCTTCTCAGACCTAACTCGAGCACAGTACCATGGGGAAGTAGGGAGGGGAAAGAGGCAAGACAAAATTCTGTTGAAATGCCACTGAAATGACACGTACAAATTAGAAACAACTCTACAGACTTAAGCACCTTTAATCTTATTCCTGCTGGCAACAATGACTTTAGTAATAAAAGAGATTTGGAAAAGCTTTCGACACAATCCAAATAATCCCAAGAAAACAATTAGCAAGGTAGGAGCTGAACACAAACCTGTCTAACTACTATTTGCACATTTAGGTGATATTTTCCAAATGTGTTATGTGACAATTTAAGCATTCCACAAAGAAAGAAAGAGAAGCAGAATTTGATGTAGGAAGAGGGAACATAATTTTACATAGCCTAAATCTGACAGTTCATATTAGTTGCTTTGCAAAGGCATTTGAACACTGGTATGTATAGTAAAAATTATTTGTTCCTTTTCCACTTAGTGTTTTAAATAAAGATGTTGTCATCTAGAAGTCTTTCGTTTGTATGCATCGGCGCAAAAAACACGATTTATTTTAAAATAAATTCATGGACTCTGTCTCTGGATTACAACTGTAGTCCCTGGACCACCAGGGCTCCTTAGAAGCTCTTGTGCAAAGACTGTATAATAGAGTAATTTGAGACCAAGTAATTAGAAAGTACAAGTCAGAGAGGAGAGTGAAGGTCATGTAAGGACATCTCTCACACAAAAGGGGGTTTACAAAGGGATAACATGTCCACCCCTATAAAGACTTTTGCTGAACAATGTTAAAAAATTACCCTAAACAACCAAATAGAATGTGATGCTATGCTGTATCCTACATTATGTGAATTGAATAATTTCTTATGTAACAGTACTTCCCTCAATATTCTCCTCTGAATTCCCCATCTGTTTCAGAAAGTCCTCCTACCAACTATTTTAACTGGATTCATCCAAACTCCACAATCAATCCACCCTTTTGAACATCAAGAGAGTTTGTTGATGTTAGACTGAGAACGTACTGGTGGGAATGAAAATTGGATTTTCAAAACAACTTAATTTAGGTTTCCTAAAATGAAAAACTTTTGCATTTTTACTATTTGCTATAGTTAACTTAGCTAGTTCATCTCCATTTCAAGGCTGAAGGGCATGAAGTTTGCCGACTTCCAGCTGTTATCTGTTGCCCTTCGTCCTTGAAACTGAGCTGAGGTGTGCTGAAAGGAGTTAAGAACACAGGGCCAGAAGTCGGGTTCTGAGCCCGACATGCACCAGAACTGCCGCTAATGCCGAAAAACACATGTAATGGGACCTCACAGATTTGCCCATATTAAACTGTTTCAGTGATGTGGAGGAATGGCTGTTCTTCACCACTTTGCCATCACTGCATTTTGTCCTTAATAATAATCTAGGCTCTGTAGGAAGTGGTGGATTTCTCCATTACACACTCCGTTTTATGAAGTGCCCCTCCATGACCCTTCTGGCATTTAAAGTGGTTTAAAGACAGTAAGAGCCTTATTGGAAGAAGTTTTTTTTATAAAAAAAAATGTGCTGATCTCTTTCAGAGGAAGACCACCAAATGGAAAGGTATGTCAAAAGTGGTGGGAAGATTCCACTGAAAGAAGGGTTAAAAATGAAGTTTAAATTCTGCTGGTCTACTCAAGTGTAGGAATTCAACGAGAAGAGGGGAATATTCCATTGAAAGGAATGTTTTAAAACTATGACATGGGAGGAGACATTGCTTCTGGTATGCGGGAAGCAAAGGATCCAATTGAAAGAAAAGTTTTTAAAACAGTGTCCTGCCTCTTTTAATGTAAAGGGATCCCATTGAAAGAAGAGTTTTGAAAATGGTGTCCTATCTCCTCTGGTGTGCAGGGCTTTGGGGAGGGCAGGGGATCTCTTGGCTTTTGGATACTGAAGTTTTTCCTGATTAAAAGGAATACAGAGTGGGAGGAGAAAAGGATTTCCAAATGCGGGGAACAACAGGCGAGAACCTGAAGAGAGAAACGTGTGATAGGAAGACAGAACTTGAAAGAGGATGATGGGAACCAGATATTCCAGGTTTCTAACAGTTCTTTCTCATCTTATGTTTTGCCGTGTATTTTGGTTCCCCTCACTATCTCCCTTCTTTTGTACAGGTGAAACAGACACTTGCACCTCACAAGAAGAGGAAAAGAAGCTGGGATCCACAGGTTAAGTGACTTGTATTGGGCCATCTCCTGCTCCTCTTCCCCCTGGAGCACAGTGGGTAGTCTCCCACCCGGAATGCAGTGGTGATGCTCTATTTACCCCACCCAGAGATATTCACTATTTTCACTTTCATGGGATACCTACACCTGTAATCCCCATGTAAGTGGAGGGACTGTACAGGCAAAATGTCCATTACAAAAGGATGGTAAATCATGCATGTCAACAACTGTTAAAGCATAGTGAAACAAATACTCTGTTTTAGTTCTCAGCCACAATGCTGGGGTCATTTATTTATTTATTTCCCATATGAGGAACTGTAGAGTGCTTTACCCAGTTTTACTATATAAAGGATATTATTGCCATTAGTCATAAGGCTACTGTTTTTATCTTATTTTTTTAAAACCCAGTACTTCCTGAAAGGATATTGTCTGTTATACGCTCTATTTCCTACTTGCTTCCACATCTCCACTTACTATCTTTTATTTGTTTTATGCAGGCTCTTCAGCTGTAAGGGCAATGCTGGGAAGAGGGCTGGAAAGTGCACACACTCACACTCAAAAATGCTTTTCTCCATTGCCATGATTCTGTATAAAATCACTGTGTTGAAAGAAAAGGTGCTTTTGGGTTGCTGAGGAAGAAGAAAGAACAAATCCCATGTAATCACACACACTCTAAATCCAGACTGATATGGGCTGCCATTTTTAATGCATATAGTTATGCTGGCTGCTTTGGCGTCATTTAGGGGAAAGGATACCTTGGTGGAGTATAAGCAGGGACCCTATCAGTGGCAACAATGGGGAGATGAAAGGCTAGGAGGGGAGTTCTGTCCTTGCCCCCTCAAAGCATTTGAAAAAAATTAGAAATGCAGAGTGGGCTTCTGAAATATGTTCCATTATAACAGTGGTTCTCAACCTGGGGTCCCCAGATGTTTTCGGCCTTCAACTCTCAGAAATCCCAATTGCTTGTAAACTGGCTGGGATTTCTGGGAGTTGTAGGCCATAAACATCTGGGGACCCCAGGTTGAGAACCACTGCATTATAATGATGGCTTAAAAAATTAAGGCAAATATGTACTCCTCCAAAATTATTTCTCAAAAAACATGACATGAGACAGTGAACAATGTCTGATCAATATAATTCCAATTTTTAGAATTCTTTTCATGGTAATTAATGCTTCATGTATGCTTGACACTATGAAATACTAGAGGAGACAAAATAATTTCCACCATTTTATTCATGGTGATAATTTATTTGGTTTCTATTTGTTTGGGATTTTTGCCTATACAATCAGTATGGCATAGAGGTTTGAGCATTGCACTATAGCTCTGGAGACCAAGGTTCAAATCCTTGCTTAGCCATGAAAATCAAATGGGTGGCCTTGGACAAGTCACTCCCTCTCAGCCTCAGGGGAAACAAAGGCAAGTGAAGTCATCCAACAACAAAACAAACAAAATGCAAATATAAAAAGGCTCCTTACAGCACAAGGTCTTGTAGCTCCATTAACAACAACAATTTTACAGTGAATTCATATTGTAGCTACCTATATACTCATGTATAACTCTATACATTTTAGTTAAAAAAATCAATTTAAAAAACCTGGGTTGACTTATGCATGGATCAATGTGAGGACTGTACCTTAATTCTGTAGGAACCATGTCTTCTCTGAGTAGGATGGCAAAAGGTAGATTAGTCCACCCCAGGAAATTTAAAAGAACCCCTAAGTTCATCTATCATGGCAACACTTCTGGCCTATTTGGATGTCTGGGTGGGGAAAGGGTGGTAATGACCAAGGGAAACAGACTCCTTGAAGTGGCTCTAGTGCTGTTCCTTCTCCAGTGTGACCTTCAACTTATCCATGAGTCATATCAAAATCCATAAATTCAGCACACAAACCTGCTCTCGGTTTATACATGAGATTTATTCATGCATGAGGGTATATTTTATTTTATGAATGAATAAAATCAATTTATGCCAAAAATGTATAATTGTGTAATAATAATACGATAAGGCATTTAATGTCCTTAAAGTACCATAATAATTTGCAATCTGTTTGTGGGGGAATTAGTATCACACACACTCCTTTCTGAAATTATCTTTTTTAGCTCCCCACAGGACCTCAAGAAAACATGGTTTCTACTACATGCCTTCAAATTTTCTGAAAATACTTTCATCTCTTGGCAGTGGCTGCAGGATAGATAAACCTCTGCAACATACCTCTCAGGCCAGATGTGACAGTTGGATCTCTACTCCTGTTTTCATCTCTGCTTGACATATTAATTTAGAAAGTCTTAAGCTACTTAGATAAAGATTTTTGTCAACGTCAGATGAGCCGACTTTCATCTTCCTATTCCAGTATGGGTTACTGCTTGCTTTTCTGTCTCAGTTGTTCAGTACGATCTTTCTCAAAGCAACTTTATTCCAATCATATTTATTTCTCATTGTCTTCCAGGACCCCATATAACACAGATATGGAGATATTTATCATCTGG